TCGAGCCAAACTTGACGACGTTCCTGTGGGGAATGCAAGCAGCCGAGCGTCGAGATCCTCAGCTTTCGGTTCTGTTTTCGGCATGTAAGAACATTACAGTTGACGGACAGAATCCTGCATGACCCTGTAACCTCAATCCCTAGGAATCGTGGGGTTACAGTACACCTAGGATCATGCAGGTCAAGAGTGGTAAAACCCACAGCACGAGCAATAATAAACCTAAGAATCACAGTAGTAAGAGCAGCAAGAGTAGAAATAATACTACCAGCAATAGCAATTGTTAGAGCAACGGCAATCATCATAACAACCAAGATAAGCATGCTGGTGACAAAGGTCATGCTTCTACGACTAGCAAAAGTAGTAGTACTCCTAATCGTGATACTCAGCAATACTAGTAAGGGCGATGCTACCAAGTTCAGCAACAACAGCCATAAACAGTAATAGTCATAGTAATCGTCATAGTAGCAGATGTAATAAAACATTTAGTAGCAATACGAAGCGTGATAGTAGTAAGCATAGTTATAGCGGTACTAGTATTAAGAGTAGTACTAGTATCAGTATTAAACACTAGTAAGATTGGCGGTAGCAGTAATGGTCATAAAAGTAGTTTTAGAAGAAAGAAGAGTACTGATTGTAAAAGTAATAGTAATAGCTGTTGTACTAGTAATAGTAACTAGTAGCATAGTGACTACCTCTTTAATGACACTGTAGAAAGGTGCTGGCGAGATTGAAAAGGGCCTGTACCTTTTCCAGCGGATGAAGAACCGTGGCATTAAGCCATGCCCTTGGCGACTTTGTCAGCAAATTTCGAGCTGACTCGTGCGGTGTCTAAGGACACACTACAAGGTTGACGAGGCGCTCATGCGCATCGCCATGGCAGGGAACGACCCCGTTCGGGGCACAGCTGAGGTAGCGTGTGTTTACAGAGCTCTCTAGCAACAATGCGGGTGGCCTGGCAACATTTGAGCTAGAATCAAAATATAGAGTTACCAAGATACCATTACGGGTGGACACATGGGTGCTTTTGGTAGTTACGCAACAGTATATGGTCCCTATTGTAATTCCGAATCGGAGGCCGTGTCCATTAACTATCTGGGAAATATTCATGATGGCTCATTTTCAGCAACCTCTCTCCATCTTCCAGATCCAGCTGCCCAAGGATCGAGCGCTGCAATTCTTTGAGGCGGCAGTCCAACGCAGGCCGGTATTCTACAGATTAGGGTTTAGGGTTTAGGGATTTGGGCCAGGTGCTGCTGATAGTGTGGTGGTTAAATGAGCAAGCTTCTGGCAAGGCAAAACTGGAGCAAGAATGCCTCTGAATTGCCAGTCCCGGTCCCAGCAACCTTGGGGTTTCAGCAGGACACATGTTCTCGCAATGGGATGGTCCCCAAATTACTTTTTGCTGCAAGTACTGTTGCGATGTTATCATGGTCAGTATGTTTACCACTATCATGATATCTCTCTTGTGAGTACTTTCTTCCAATACTTTTGTTTAAAGTGTTCTCCTTCAAGACCTGAGGTTGTGATGGAGATGGGGATCTACAGGCAAGCTCTCCGCGCGTGCCAGTTGGCAGCGTCAGAAGCCCAGATCGCGGCCACACCACAAGCTGCCAAAATGACGTCCTTGTTTCAGGTTGCCCCCAAAAGGCTCACAACGGACCATATGGGCTATTCCCAAAGGTTTAGCGGCTTCTTTGTGGTGTATCTAGTATTACAGTATCTTTGGTTGGAACCCAGCTTTGAAAGCTAGCAGTTTCTGGGATATCTGGGATTTTCTGAAGCATCAAGCCAAAGCAATCTTCTTCCAGGGCATCTGGCGCCGAGCCTGGCGTGGGAATCAGCTCTTATGAGGTCGGGCTGTAGGTGTGCAATCGTTCCATGTCTGTAGAAAGGTAGTTTCCCTTCCTAGGGGGACCCCAATATAGACCCAAATATGCTATAATCCTTATTTTGGGGACCCCCAAAAAGGTACCCTAATTTTGACACACCCCCACAGGGTCGCATGCCAGGACTACGCCTTGCAGCTGCTGCTGGATCTGTGACTTGACTGTCTGAGCGGAGTTCTGATGGCATCGCCTGGAGTTGGCATTTTTCAGGCAGAAGGCCAAACTGAGGGTGGCCGTGAGCTCAGTGTAAGAGCAACGGTCATGGTTGGCAAACATCCTTCAGATGCTAAAATGAACGGAGTGACTGCGCATGCTGTTAGCTATTTGCTGCTTAGTGGCTGAAGTTGCACTGAGGATGCAAACATGTATCTGCATGTCTGGTCCCAAGAGCCCTTGTGGCTTCGAGATGCTGATTCTGAGTTTCTGCCGAAGATGGCCAAGATCAGGCTATATCCACTTGCGAGTACAAGAAAAGCTGGAGAAGAGCCTGCCTCCCAAAGTCCTTGCCGTGCATATCGCAATCCCTGCTTTCAGTCTTGCATAGTGTTGTGCTGAGGTCATCAGCTTGTTGCAGGAAATGTCCGAGAAGGGATATAGAGTGCAGGGTGAAAGGTGGGTCTTCTAACTTTCTGGAGGCAGCATGTCTTGAACATTGCTCATGCAGGTTTCGATCTGCCTACTGGAATGCCATTCTGGCCGCTGGAGAGAACGGAGATCCTGATCAGGTTCTGCTCACGGTACAGACAGATCACAGGATGGGTGCTGAATCCTGAGTTTGGGCAGGCATACGACCTCTTCGAGCAGATGAAGAAGAACAGAGTGATACTGGAGCTGCTTTCTTCGTGATCCGAGTTTTACCATTCTCAAGCCAGACGGAGATGTCAATCATGTGCAGGAGCCGTTCATGTATGAGAAAATGGTGCTTCTGCTTGAAGCAAATGGGCAGTCTAATGCTTAGCAGGTTCGCAGTTCAAGGAAGAGGTTTGTGGGCATTTTTTTGCTGAGGCTAGCGAGAGCTGCTCGTGTGGACGAAGAATTCCAGAATAAGCAGCTGAAGAAGTACGCGGAGGCATGCCTTTATTCCTTTATTGCAAAACCCCTGGGAAGCAGCTGGCATGAGCCTACGCCGCAGGAGATGATGGTTCATAGGAAGCGAAACGAATGGGAGGAGGTACTGTACCCGCGGGGCCCGCATGGCATGAGATGTGAGACCTGGAACTCTAGGCCATTGGCGTCATCCAGAAGCTCCGGGATGAAAAGATCAGGCAGGATAGTGTGTTGCAGAGAGTTGCAGCAGTGGCAGTCAGTCTGGCTTCTGATTGATATCAAGGCCAACCCTGAAGTTCATGAACACAGCCATGAGTGCCTTGCAGTACCCCGGGTCGGGTACTCAGAGATGCGGGATGGGTGGGGTGGTTGCTGGACTGTTGATCAGCAGGAAAGCCACTGTTTAGTCAGCCAGCTAGGAAGTGGGAACTCGTTCTCGAGATGATGGATGAGATGCGAGCGGATGGGTCTGTGGCCTTGACATGTGTCGGTGCATTTCTGGCTATTTTGATCAAATCCTCTGCTATTCCGCAAATGGTTCAGACACTAGGTACGAGCTGGACGTCTGTACTCACACTGTGGCCATCACCTCGATGATCACGGCCGAAGAGTTAGAGTTGCTCGGCTTACCGGAGCTCGCTTCGCCGCTGAGATCATTGCCCAGATGAATGCCCCTGTGCGTAAGGAAGGCCGGCAAGCAACTGGAGGTCATGAAGACGGAAGGCCAGGGAAGAAGTGAGAGGTTGTCCAACGGTCCCACGAAGCTCCCAGGCGTGCAGCCTTCAGCGATGACCTACGGCCGGCTGATGTTTGCTCTCGAGGTTTGTGGGTGACTTCGTTTCACTGCCCCGAGCAGAGTTGTCCAAGAGTCTTTTGATGCAGTGACTTTGCCAGAAAGCCGACCAGCCTGACAGAGCTTTGCCGTGGCCTTGTAATTTTTTCTGTGCCCCCCTCCCGCTCCCCCCAGCCTTCCCCTTTCAGTTGATTCGTGTGGCTTTTTCGAGGCATCTTTGGGATGAGATGCGCACCCAGGGCATCGACCCAGACAGGCACCGTGTGGCTTCTGCACCTGTGCAGATTGTGCAGGCTCCAAAATCCTAAGTTAATCTTTCAGGGTGGGATTCGAGACCGCGGTGAGGGCCTGCGCGAAGTGCCAGACTCTTGATAGGCTTTCTTTGGCTTCTTCATAGATACATGTGCAAGCGAGCCCAAGGCCAGTTCCACGAGGCAGTCCTTGAGCTCTACGATGAGATGAAGGTGCTGCGAAGCCTTCCTGTCCTGGCTTGTGAAGATGGCTGGAGATTACGGAGGTACGCGACAAGAACCCCTCCAGAGCAACTGCACGCAGTGCTGCGTGGGCAGCCAAGCAACTTGGCTTGGCGGAGCCGTTGCTGGCTGGTGCACAGCCCCTGCCCGCGCCTGCCTTGGTGCCTGTGAACAAAAGCCGCAGCTGTCTATTTGTGGCATTTAGGACGCAATGTCTCGCCCCAGGAGCCCGAGGAGGTGGAGGTTGTTGACGCGGTGGCCAGATGATGCCTGGATGAGCCCTCGCTCGACCAGAGCCAGAATCGTTTCCAAGCCCGGAGCAGCTCCGTCAAGACAGTGTAGGCCTACAACGGCACTCCGGCTACCTGGAACACCGTCTCCCCCAAGCTTAGAAGCAGCGCCAGTGCGAGCGCCGCTTTCGTCGTAGAAAATGGGCAGAAGCGTGACAGTGGCACCTTTAACATACGGCTTGGCTTAGTTTAGCTGCCTTCGGTTCCAAAAACCATTGCAGCCTCCTGATGCTCCGTTGTGCTACTATCGGGCTCCAGGGCAAGGCAGCCGGATTATGCGATACGAAAACGTTCTCCAAATGGACAATGTAGCAGCACAGCTGTCACGCAGAAACCCTCTTCGAAACAAAAGCCGAGCATTTTTTTAATGAGTCAAGCTATGAAGGTGTCATGTTTGCTTTCATGCCTGTGCGATGAGATGTGATTGTTGATCGGCCTTTGCCTGGTTTGAGGCCGAGGGCAGTCTGGGTTGGGCAAAGTAGGCGTCTAGCCGGCTCTGCCTTTCGGAGGCATGGGTGGCACCGAGTCTGTGGAGCAGAAGGAGGAGGAGGATGTGGAGGCGGAGCCGGCGGAGGAGGAATTGGGCCTAAACCCAGAAGATGTCGCCACCTCCTCAGTTGCCTAGTCTGCTGTACTTTTGTATATAGGGGTATGAAGGAGTATATAGACTTCACACAAACTGGTTCAGAGAAAGTTAAGTCTGCTCGAGGTCAAGATGACCTACAGTGAGTTTAACACTGCTCTTGGTGCTGCATGCCGGGAAAACGTGCTTTCCTGAGCATGTCCCAGTGTAGCAAATGGTGCTGATGGAAAAACAGCCCAACCAGCTCAGGACCTCAAGAAGTTTCGGGCCCTGTGGGATTTCATCAGCCCTGTGCGCACCGAGAACCATCCCGCCTTTGACTCTAGGATTTAAGAAGATTGGAGCATGCGACTGTGCATGTCAGAAAGTTTAGCGCAACACCAAGGACGACAACTTGATGGCGGAGAACTGCATCAAGCACCTCAGATATGTGTCCTGACTGCAGTTGTATGTGCATGCATCCTCAGAAACCGGCTGAGATTCGCCCACATGAAAACCCCGGGCCAAAACCTGTTACTCTGCTGTTGAGGAAGGAAATGCTTTTGGTGTCATGAGTGTTTCTGGTTCTGTGGTGCACTGGGGTGTCATACCTTGCAGCGCACTCCTTTACTCTCCTTCATGTATAATTATCCTTGCGTGCCATTTCGGAGTCAGATGTCAGTCGCAGAAAGCAAGGAGAAACAATTTTTTGAGTTGAGGCCTTTCGTCACTCAGTGACACCGTGGCGAGAGTTGGGTGTTCTTGCCTCGGCACCGTGAAGCCATCACACCGAATTCCAGGCACCGCCAGCCAACTGAACATGGAACTTAACAAGGTTCGGGTGAGTCGGACCTTCTTCCACAACGTGCAGGCGCCAGCGACAAGCTATCAGAAATGTGAAGCTAGAAGCCAGAGAGGCTCGAGAAAAACTCGTCCAGCTCGACTTCGTAGGCCAGATGGAGGGTGAATTTCAATGCGCAGAGCTTCCAGAGGGCATCACTTTCGGTTTGCTGGTTCATGTTCAAAGGTTCCATGATGCTCCTCACCATGCCCAAAGAAGGCAGCTGCCTGCGTAGTGCATCCGTGCGTTGTCTGTCAGACTTTACTTTTTTCCCTTGCCCTCCTTTCGGAACGGATGTGAGACAGTGCTACTTGCCACGAGGTGCAGAGGATCTGGAGGAGGAGGAAGACCACTCTGGAGGCTCATTCGCAGAACCCTTCAGATCATTTGATCTATGGATTCTGTGGGCTCAGAAGCTGAAGCAGGTTTGCACGAGGGCGCCAACGCAGAGGACATTGTTGCCGCGGCTGCAACTGTGGGGTGCCCTCGACGAAGTGGCTGTGCAGCATTCCTCGAGGAGTTCCGCTTTCAGCTCCTCGCTGCAGCCGCAGACCCGGAATGATGTGTGGGATTAATGTGTATTGGTGGGTCAGGGTGCGGTTGAGTTGCCGAGCGGCAGCGGTCTGCTCGCACAACTGGGATTGTTGATCCGATAATTAGTTGCCTTTGTAAAAGGAGACCATCCTGGAGATGGCAGACTATCCCGAGTGCGGACCCAAGCCAACCGAGAGTTGAAGTGGGGAGAGTGAAAAGCATTTCCTGTAATGGCATTGTACAGGTTTGCTTGCATTCTTGCTGGCGATGTAAAGTAGCTTTCAATGGGTGTTCAATGATGGCTGAGCATTGATGAACTGCTCATCTCATACAGACATCAACAGCATTTGGCGCGGAAGGTTCATGCCATCATTGTGCTCAACCAGCGTTCTCAACTTTCTCTGCATCGCGCTGAATCAGGCCAAATTCACCTTTCTTGCTTTTCTGGCCAGAGTATGGGGCAGTTCTCGCGAAAGTCAAGCGGAACTGGTAGAGTGTGGGCTTGAGCCATCAGCGTTTAAGTTGGCCAAGCCAGCTAGCAGGTTCCTGCAGCAGTTGAGATTGTTACGCACACCTTTGCTGCTTGGCTGCATGAGCAAGTGCGCGTGGGAAAGGGGTCTTGAGTTTCTTTGCTGTCTCGGCTTTGCAGAGAGTATGGGGCACTCTCTTCCAACGATCCATCCCCAAAATACTCTTCCTACAGTAGGTGGTCTTGTTTCTTGGCATGCTTTCTCCAGTTGCCAGTTGGGGTTGCCCTACATGGCTAGCTAGTATGGGATGGACAGATTGGAGGCTGCCTACTTTTAGCTTTTAGGACTTGCAAAGGTCAAGATCTCTGCAGACCCGCAACACTTGCCGGTCTTCCTTGGCGGCGGCTTGGCTACATCCACACAGTGAACAGCATGTTGGCGTGCAGCAAGTACTTGGTCTCTCAAGTTTTTGTTTGATTGCTTGGAGGTTCCGTGGGTGACATCCTGGAGTCATTTTTCAAGTCCACAAACTATCTGCGCCCGAACGATGCGAGCAGCTTTGACCGGATGCAGCAGTGGGTCGCGCGCTCAGCTGTGCTGAAAATCGGAGGGTTCGGAGAAGTTGAATCATTAGCACCAGTTTGAGTGATCTGGAGGCACGAGACATCTCTGCGATGGCACACTGCGCCCACACCATGGGCACGCGGAGCTAGCCTGCTTTCATGTCTCTGCATCAAAGATGTTTTGATGCAATGCAGCAAGGTACTTCTTACAAACAGAACTTTATCCCATTTCATGACGTCCGCCATCGGCAGCAACCTGCTCTGACGTGACAGGATGATAAAGTACGACCACGCCGTTCAGGTGGACCTTCGCACCATCGGGGCCATCTTTGCAAGCATGTCCTCAGCCAAGCATGGACTGCAAGGTCTGGAGGAGCCACCTGCAAAGCAAGACGTGCCTGCAAGGTCAGACAACTTGCGCTTGGTTTCTGAGCTATCCCGGCTCTTCTACTGGGTCTGTCGCAAGTCTCCTGCAGCTGGGCTGCATTTGCGTTGCCGCAGAGGATTTGGAATCATTAAGTGGAATGCTGGCTGCAGGATCTGTTTGAGACCCTGATGGAATCCGCTCCTGGCGTCGGTGGGCTGGAAGGTTTGGCGCCTAATGCCCACACAACCCATGGTTCTGCAAGCAGCGCCAGGGGCAATAGAACAGGCTGACTCTGGCGAGGCCTAGATACCTTGCTGTTTTCCTTGGTGGCTACGTGGAAGCAGTCTGTGGATTTGCGGCATCCTCGGTTGCCAGAGCTAGTCGAACCAGCTGTGAAATCCTCGTTCTCTGCCGCCATATTACCTGAATGTCCCGCAGTGCCCGTATGCCCCTGGCGTTGGTGGCCCATATTGGGAGACCCTGATTTTACCTTGTGGGATGAAGGGTGAGAGGCATTGTTTCACGGGCATCTGCCGAGGCACCAGCGACTGGTGGCTGCTGCCAGAGCCGGAAGCGGCAGCGGTCGTGTCCTTAGGGGCTGGTGGGTATCGTCCATAAGCAAGGTTCCCAATCTACAGCCAAACGACCATCTGCCTAAAATCTAGAGCCCAAAGAAACCGAAAATGGCACCTATTGTGAGGGCTTTGAAACGGACGGACGCTTAGACTGAAGAAGCTCCTTCGTCTTGCGCTGGCCGGCAGAGGAGAGTACATCAGTTCCACTCTGTCTGACAGCAAGGTTTGGAAGACTTCCTTGTTGATGACATAGTGACCTGTCAGCACTTACTGTCCATGCTATGCTGCACGAGGTGGGTTTCGATCCTGCTGGCTGCAGCAAGCCGTGGCTTGAGACCTTCCATCACTTCTGATTTTTCAGGACAAGTCGGTTGCTATTGAGCCGCGCACCCAGGGACTCGCGTATGATGCGTTGCGAAGCGAATGTCAACTGGTCAGGTTCGGTTCAGAAGAATATGGTCACAAGGTGGAGTATGCCGAGCTTCGTGCCCAGGGTTAGCTGCTTGCATGCGTGGTACAGTGACAGATGCTGTCAATCTGAGGATGAGGCTCTGCTACATGAACTGCCTCCTCTGGGTTGGTTCCTCAGGCGCAGCAACAGGCTTTGTAAGCAGCGAGCGGACTGCAAATCGACGACTTGAAGGAAGGGTCCTGCGCGGGTATATGTCAGGAGTCAGGGTTGTTGACAGAACTGCAATACCAGTACATGCTGTCGCACTTACAGACTTGTCGAGATGATGTGAGCCATAGTGTAAACGCCTTAAAGGGGCTTATATAGGGGATTATGATAATTTAGGGTACTACTATGATTATTAAGAGGCATACTAGCAGTTTAGACAATGGCTCATGTGGGTGTTCCAAGGTTTTACTGCCGCAGTGGAGCCTTCGGTGGCGCCTCCGCGATTTCGGTTTGAAGGCACTTTGAGCCTTGAGCCAATGAGCGGGATATTCCCAGTATAACCCCTATATAACCCATTGTAGTAGTTTCCATTTTATTGTCCATTATCCCAATATTCCCCCAATATACTATAGAGTAGTTTCCATTTTCCTTTCCATTGTCCCCATATAACCCATATATATATATACACACACACACACATCCTTAATCCCTATAAAACCTCTATATACCCTATAGTGCCTATATAATAACCCCTACATACTCCCCATAATTCCTGTGGTTTCCATTTTCTTTTCCATGATCCCTATATAACCCCAATATATTACAGTAGTTTCCATTATATTTTCCATAATTCCCTATATAACTCCAATATAACCCTAAACCCTAAACCCTAAATCCTAAACCCTAAACCCCAAACCCCTGTGGTGGAAGAGCCTCAGAGGATCTTTACCTTGCCGTGGAGCTGCGAGAGCCGGTGCTGCTGCAGGCCTGGGCTTTGAGGGTCATATTTGGGGTAATATTAGGGTTCTATTGGGTTTAGGGTTTTTAGGGTTTAGGGTTTTTAGGGTTTAGGGTTTAGGGTTTTAGGGTGCTATTGGGACATATTGCGGGTTGTATTGGGGCAATATTAGGATTATATTGGGTTTATATTCGAGCAATATTTGGATTTTATCGGGTCTATATTGGGATAATGGAAAATAACATGGAAACTACTAATTAGGATTTAGGTTCCATGAAGGACTGTTAAGGAAGGTATAGGAAGGTGAAGGACTTGAAGATGTTTTGAGATTCTCTCAGGTCCTCCTGGGCACCATGCGCCATCTCCTGGACCAGGAGCAGGCGCAGGAATGTCCTGCCCGCAGTTTTTGACGTTGTTGTTTTTGCGGACTTTTCCATAAGCACTCCGTCTGAGGCCACGAGCTCATATCTTTCTTCGGAGAGCAGCTGCGGTGGACTTAGACAAGTCCTCGAAAGGCGACTGCTTGTACTAGCCGAGTAATCAGGCTTGGCTTCCTTGACCTGGCCATTCTCGGAAAGTTCCCCGACAGTGCTTTCCTCATTCCTCAGACTTCGTGGGGTTTAGACTTTAGCCCCAACTGCCTGGACCTTCCTGCAAGAACAAAGTACCACGAGCAAGCAGCACGGCACAGTGGCGGACTCCAAGTCACCGCTCAGGCCTGATGCGGCTGCTGCTGGACGGGGCCATGAACCTAATCTACCAGCTTACCCAAAGACGTAGGCTGTGCGCGTCAACATAGCGGAGGTTTCCATCCTCTCCTTCAATCGAGATATGCAGCAACTGCTTGCAAGCTTCAACATCTGGGGCAAGCTGAACAGGCCAGCTTCCTTCATGCTGTCAATTTCATTTCGACTCTAACTGCTTCATCAGGCTCGTCCGTAAATATCGGGCCCAAGCCTTAGGCATGTGTGCAATCAAGCAACATCAGTCAACGCTCTTTCGTCATGGCCACTGATCTGCTTGTAGTTGCCTGCCTAGGAACGGAATGCCTCAAGAGATCACCGCAAGATCGAGCTGGCAGTCTTGTGCCTTCCTCAGACCTTCTGAACCACGCTGTTTTCGTATATCCATTCCTCGTGTGGTTGCCGACACAGATTCAAAGCTGCGTCAGCTGCGAGGCGAATAATGTCTCAAGTGGCAGTGCATCCCGCGCATCGCTTGGGTCACTTGGCTGAAGTGCAGAAAGTACGAGTCCATCTGCAGTAGATGTAAAGTGATCCTTGTAGCCTTCAAGCGTCCTTGCCAGGCTGGGTCGCCAAGGCATGGACAATTATTGTGAAACTTGCACATTTGAAGCTTGATCCCAGTTCTCAGCTGTGTGCTGCAGCCAGGAAACAGATCCTGATGAAGTCTACCCTCCGCGTAGCGAGTTCGAGGAACAGTTTCGGTCCTCAGCATCCCCTTGAATAGTCAAATCTGGATTGTCAAACGAACATGTCAAGCCATGCTTTGCACGAGGTTAGAAGGTTGGGTAAAGCGGAAGGATGAGCACTGCAAGACGATCGCATCCCTACTTCTCAACATCTTTCAGGAGCTCCTTCCATTCAGGGCTTTCGCAACCTGTTGTGGATTGGGGCTGCAGGAGCAGAAGTTCCAGAAGCATCCGAGCCAAGTAGAAACCACCTTGCACAGCATCCTGGACTGGTGGCAGGTGCACTACTTGCTTACCCACGCCTGTGCCAGCAAGTAGATTTAAGAGAAGAGGTGAACAGCAGCACCTGCTACGAAGAGGAGCGTGAGGCACACTGGCTAGCTTTGGCTTAGGTGTCCTTTTGATCAGCTCCATGGACTTGCGATTGCGGGGAACTCGAGGCTGGTGACCTCCGGACCGCCGCGGACGTGGAGGCTGCAGAGCGTCTGGGCCTGTGGAAGTGCAAGATCCGTTTGCTTGAGTAGCCCTGCCTGAATTCTGAGGCGGAGGAGTGAAAATGACTGTAGCGGACCGGCTCAAAGTGTGTTTCATGCGCGACAGCCTTAGAAAAAAGATTTCTTCGCAGAGGGGCAAAGTATGCCGGCTACGCCCAGGTGCCCAGGAGAAGCGAACTCTTACCAGCCCGCCTCCCATTTGTGGCTTCTGAGCCCACCTTGCATTCTGCCTCGTGAATAGGCATGGAAACAATGGTGTACTGTGCTCCCTACGAGTGCGCGGGGTCCTTTGTGAAGGAAGCCTTTGATGCTAGAGACCCGTCCAGACATAGCTTCGAGCTTAGGTCTTGGTCCTCTCGCTTTTCAGTCGCCTGGCACTGGAGCCGAAGTTCAAGAAGCGTGGGCCTTGTGACCTAAGAGTTTTGGGCCACTTGTAGCCTCACAAGCGCGCGTTGTAGGTTGCTCTTCAACCATGCGCTGGAGCCGCTCCTGGGATGTATTTGCACTGGGTTCTGGGCAGAAGCACGGGAGGTGTGGAACTCAGCAATATTCTTGCGTTTTTGCACCCTGACTTGTGGTTCCTCGAGGCGGCAGCCACCCTTGCCAACCTGATGTGGGTTCCTGACCTGGACTACGAGCGTTTGGCCGCCGGCTGAGCATTTCTGTCTGCTTGCATGGAAGCGCAATGGATTCAATGGCTGCAATTTGCTGCCTTGACCTTCAGGTATGCTGGTTGAAGTTCGATGGATCCAGGCCAGAAACAATACGCAAAGGATCAAAAAGCGGTATTGAAGCAGATGGAATCCCCCATTCAGAGTGTACTTTTAAGGTTCCCTAACCGATGCCTGTCCATAAATTCAAGTCCGCAATGAGCTTTCTGCTCAGAATGGGCTGTCCCTCCTCAACAGTCCTGATATGAGAAACTCCTACATGTGGTGAACTAATTGTTTTCCAGTAGGATTCTGCAAGATTTTGGCCAGCCTAACTACCGTGGATGCCAAGAATCCTGCATGACCGTAAGCACCTTATACCTTGGGAACACCTTAAATGTGGTGCTATGGAATACTAAGGTCATGTAGGATGTTTAATGTCAACACTATATGAGCTCCCATACATCGCCAGTTTCCATTTCATTTTGAAATTTTATTTTCCATTGAATTCTCCATTATTGGGGGGTAATGTCCTGTGTCATGATGAGACTACGCCCTATATAACCCAATGCAACCCTAAATAGCCCTGTACAACCCCAAATAACCCCTATATCCGCTTCAAAGTTAACCCTATGTAGCCCTATATATGGGTGGTTGTCAAAATTGTGATCCCTTTTTGGGTACCCTAAATATTAGGTGCCGTATTATAATAGGATCCAAAAAAGGGGCCATAATTTTGACAACCACCCATATAGTCAACAGTATGACAGGTGCATCACCGTTGATGCGGCAAATGTACTTCTGCCTATCAAAGCGGGAGAGCCAAAGCCCGTGGACATTGGTCTGGGCATGCCTTTGCCTCAGCAAGGCAGCTGCAGAAAAGGGGTTGCTTTAGAGATATACATATATGTGTCATATAAAGATTTGAAAGCAATATGGTAGTGATACTGTCGTAAGTTTGAGTAATATTGTGAGAATTGAAGCCTGCGCTGGACCTTCGCAGGTACAGCTCCATGTGGGGAGTCGAGTTCGGGGTGGGCTCATGCCACTTGGCTAAAAGAAGTGTTCGGCGCAACCTTGTTTTGCCAGAGGTAAACGAGGATAAAAGCGTTCGGAATACATCAGCTGCTGTACTTCATGCGACGCGGGTCGTGACTTGGAGATTACGTACTGATCATTCTTCGCAGAGAATTGCAGGCTTGACGCTGCACCCAGATGGCTTGAAGACGTACAATGTGCCCGGTCTTTTGACTACGGCCCTGGACTTTGAATTCCTATGCCCGCCAATTCGGCAAGCGGGATGTGCCCGTGCCTACTCAGGCTTCCCCGCAGGATACCTTCAGACACACGTCCCAAAGCCTGAGCCTCAGCAAGTCGTGTGCCCGCGTTGGCACTTTCAAGGGATGAAGTTGCAGAGAGTTCGCGTATCAGGTCCCTATCATTGGCTAGATGAGCCGCCGGACCCAAGACATTTCACAATCACATGCTGGCACGGGCCTGATGTGAAGTCACGTGACAGCTTTTTCCACACTCCATGAATTTGATAGCAGGTTTTTCTGGCCTCTTAACCAGTTCGACGCGCCAGAGTCGGTGCCATGCTCACAAGCATGTGTGCATTCATGTGTGACTGCGTCTCAGCAAGGCGAAGCGGCAGTGTGTTTTGCTGCAGAGCTCCCCGTCGCTGCCCAGGAAAGAATGCTTGCGTCTGCTGGTTGCGCTTTGACTTGCGAATTTTCTGAGGCCGGAAAGGCTGATGCAGCTTTATGTTGACTTCGAGACAGAGCCGGAAGGCATCTGGACCCTCGTCGACCACACCAGGAAACCCGTGGCTTCCTATGAATTGATCTTTGGCCATGCCTTGGTTTGTTAGGACCAAGCGACCGATCAAGACGCCTCAGCTGCATCCTGGCTGGCATCTGCCGCTTTCCTCAGTTGGTCATTAGGTAGTTTCCCAAAATGGGGAACCCCAATATAGACCCCAAATACTATAGTCCTTATTATATGGACCCCCAAAAGGTGGGAAACCCCCATGATTTTTGAAATCTTGAAGTATGATCCTGTGTTGCCTTGGCAGCGCGGCCTGAAAGATCAAGTAGTATTTTATTTGGGGATACTATGGTACCTAATAATATAGGGTTTAGGGCCCTATAATGGAGAATCAAATGGAAAAGAAAATGGAAAATGAAATGGAAACTGGGAGTATATTTATTTTAATCCTGCAAAGAGTCACTTAGGCTGTCGCTGGTATCTTCCACCAGCCGCAGTGCCACGCAACCGTTCGACGGAACCAAACTGTTCCTGGACGACTGGTGCAAAGTGCTGAAGAATGCTTCTTGCCAGAAGAATGGGCTCTAAGTTGCTACAGAGCTGTGCGGTGTCATGTGAGCAAAAGTCTAAACTCCTTAAAAGGGGTTATATAGGGGATAATATGGGGAACTACTATAGGGCTTATTAAGGGGGATACTAGGAGTTTAGACAACGGCTCATGTTAAAGAGGAGCACTTGATTTGTAGTGTGAGTTATGGAAGTCTGAGGTTTGGGCGCGCGGCTCAGACTTCATAGCTTCCGGATTTGGAGAGTTCCAGCGCACAGGGCCTGGAACCCATCTTTGCTGAGGTTCTCAACGATTTCTACATGGTGGGGAATGATTCTTCAGCTGGAGGTCGCAAAAGCTCATCTAATGGGCGGTGATTCTGCTGTATGCGTGGCAGGACGGAAGCCGTTCGGTTTAATGGCGGACTTCCGTATCTACGCCCGCAGCTTGCCAGATGAGCAGGTCGCTCTCAACCAACAGAGATTATCAGAGTCTGTTGCATTCGGTCTTCACTAATTTGGACAGCTGTGAAGGTGAAGAACATGGTCGTAGCCAACAGCACCGAGGACCACCCTGACAGGATTGCCTGGCGCTGAAGCAGTTCTCATAAAAGTTTTGAGAACTTGTTAGCTGTGAGGTGTTGTTAGGCGAGTGCTTTCTGAGGCCCGGCGCCTTGCAGCGCTGGATGCCGCGACGGTCCTGGCTCAGCGCTTGGACGTGCCGGACACGGCCGCGGAGTGCACCGAGCTCGGCTGGCACTGCCTCTGGCACTGCCTGCGGCATGTTGCTCTGCAGATTCTGCAGGCCTGCGAGCCCTTGGCAGTCTGGCTACGTTGTCTTCGCAGAGGGCGCGCTTCTTAGAAGCTGTCAGTTTGGGCCGTTCCCGTAGCCTATGCTGGAGGCCAAGATCTTCAACGTGTGTGGGCGGAAGCTGATGCAACTCATGGACTCACCGCTCCCCATGGTCCAGCGTCAGGCAGGAACCCATGCACTCATGCACTCGAGATCTTATCCTGCAAGGGCAACAAACTGAGTCAGCAAACGGTCTCCTGGTGTCAGGCGAAGCGCCTTATCAACAACCTCGCCTGACAAGATGGCATGGACTTAGAAGAGATTAGGACAACTAGGAAAAGATAGATGTGTGTTCCAAAGTGAGCACCGCTGTGCAAGACATCCCGCTCGGATTAACTCCGATGTTAGTGAACTTCCACTCATCTGCTTGGACGGCAAAGTCCTTTTTCGACGGAAGCACCACATCCGTGTGCTGGACGCAATGTTTAGGCACACAGCGGAAGATTTCAAAAACACAATCCGACGTGGTGCTGACGTTGGCCACGCAGGCTGAGTGGTGTCGAAGACTCCTACCTGCCAGAAGCCATAGCACATGAGATAGCCAGCCAAATTAGCCATTCACGGGTTCCTTAAAAAGATCATGAAAATTGGGGAAAATCCCTAGGTAGAGCCCTGGGTCCCGGACCCCAAATCGGGAGGGCCTGCAGGTTCCAAAATAATTATTTTTGAGACCCCTCGGCCCCAGACCCGAAATTAGGGATGTCTGCAGGTCCCAAAATGGTGATTTATGACCCAAATTGGCCATTCTCCGGTTGAGAGGGGCAGGTTGCAAGTCCAGAACATGCTGGTTGCAGAAGAACTGTAGCCGCAAAACAAGGCCTTTGCAAAGCGCTGAAGCTCTGATATTCTTACCGGATCTGAGCCCAAGTGAGCTTGCGTGTTGCCATCCACTGACTCTGGCAGTTGCTGGACTATGAGGAAACCTGCAGAAGTCAACTCCGTTGGAGGCAGCAATGAAACGAGTGAAGTTGTGCTGATGCTTTTTCCCGACTCCAGCTGCCAACGAGTGGCTTCGAGTTGATCATTGGAAGACAGCAGCCTCACATCCTCAACGACGAATAATCTGTTGACTGTCGACTCCTACGACCCCGCAATTGCCGCCCTACACTTCAATCAGACAACCTGTAAAGCGGGCGGGCCTTTGCAAAAGACAGATGGGATTGCCCCAGCAATCTAGCAGAGCAGCAGCAATGAACACTGGCTGACACGTGACTCCGAATGAGCAGCTGCCTCAGGTTTGACAGGGCTCCCCCTCCAGTGTGGAGCCAGAGCTGTTTACATGAGCTGTAGTCTAAGCTCCTGAAAGGGGGTTATTTAGGGTATTATAAAAGGGCAGTATTATAGGGGTTGTTGAGGCAAATGCTAGGTGTGTAGACTCTAGCTCATATCAATTAGTAGCCAACCATACGTTTTGATCTCAACATGCGTTGCGTTGAGACTGAGGTGCTTTCGTTTGGCACGAGAAGGAGTCTCGGCGCACAGCCCATCAGCGGCGCAAACAGGAGAACGGATCTCAGGGCTGTGCACACACTCATAGACATATATATATATATATGTATGTAGAATGTGTCTGTATACATACAGAATCATATAGAGCGTACTTTCTATGTGATGACCTGTTATAGAACAAAGTATGATATACTAGTGCACCGGTTGCTGTCAGCTTTGCGCGCAAAGGCGAGAAGTCAAAGCGAAGGAGACCCAGGCCTTTCTATCCAGCTACAGTCTCAGCCCGATGTCCCAACTTCGCCGTGAAACCTACTTCCCAGGGCTGTGTGCTGCAACTGATGCATCGTATGAAAGTCAGGGATTTTTGATTTTTAATTGTTGTCCGCAGTATCTACTTGTGTGATGGTTAATGCAATCAGTAAATGTTGACCATGATGGGCAAGTTGAGGCGTAGCGAACGGCGTTGAGCCACCACCCTTCGGCCGGGTGGCTTACGCTGCCAGAGGGGAAGGTATTGTACAACGGAATATCGCAGTATTCTATACACATGTTATGGTTTCCTATGTAGGATATGCATATATAAGCACGTATATACAACGTGCATTTACGAATACAACATACACACTGCATGATATACATAGTGACATCATGTATACTACGCAGAAGATGATCTAGTATGACATAAGGCTCTTGGCTGGAAAGTGTTTCAGCTTGACTTGCTGTGCTAGATCTCCTGGTCGACCAAAACCAGAACGAACGGCGCCTCCATGTGCCGCCAGGCTGCTTGAGCCCCAGATGCCATGGGATTTATCAACATATGGGAATGTCCCAAATATTAGGGTTCAGGGTTTAGGGTTTAGGGGTCCCTAGAATAAGGATAATAAGGATTATAGAATGTTGGGATCCATATCTGGGTCCCTCTATTTTGGGAAGCTACATATGAGCTATGACTATGGTCCAAAATCCTGCAGGGAGGTTATATACGGGGTTGTATTAGGGACTATATAGGGGATATTAAGGGGATGATCTATAGCTCATACAAGTCTGCCTCAGGATTCCTAGAATAGACAGGGACCAAGGAAATGGACCAATGATTTGAGAAACAATCGCTGCGGGGACCAGACTTTGACAGTGTCTCTAATCCGCAACCAAATTCTAAACTCTAAACCCTTTATCCCTAAACTTCTGCAGATCACAGGTATGGGACTGGTAATTGGCAAGAAGGGCGAGCACCTTAAGTCTATCGAAAAGACCTTCAAAGTTTGGAACCCAGCTTTCGCATAAGGGCGCACAATTGGCGCAAGTCCGATTACACTTCGTGCGAGGTTAACGTTAAAACTCAGAAGGACGAAAGCAGCACGAAGCCCCAGTTGCATGCTGTGCTCGGATGCTTGCAGCAGTGGCTGCCGTAGCCAGTCCGATTCCAGTCCTAGCAGGCTCTGACAATATCCTCCTCATCTCCGGGGACTCCGCAGCAGAGGTGGCAGGAGCAGTGAAGCCTGGTTCCCATCCAACCATTTTCTTACCTTTGGTAAGCTGGGAAGGGAGTGGAAAAGAACATGGAAACTACTATAATGGGTTAAATAGGGACTACTATAAGGATCCATTCTCAGCTTTGACTTTTCAAGTCTTGAGATTCTTCGATCATCCAAGAAGTTTCGAGGGAGCTGGACTTTGACATGAGAACCATTGAGGCCTTCCACTGCTGATGTCCGGCTGTAAAGACGCTCTTCATGGACATCAGCCTGCAAGGTGCCAAAAGACATGGCTGGATGGGTATGCGGCAAGTTGGGCGCTGGAGTTTTTGCTGCTTCGGCATCAGATCTCTTTCCAACATTCAACCTTTCCGCCAAAGGGCCGGCAGACATTTGAAGCTCATTCGCGAGATGACAGGCGTAGCAGTGCCAGTTTCTCAGCGCGGTACAAGCAGTCCAGGCAACAAACCACGACGGTTGAGAGACTATTTCATGCTAGTCTAGGCTAAGCATGAAGAACGCGGACGAGGCTGAGGGTGGAACTGGCCAAAGCCGGCGGCCTGGAGCATGGATTCTTTGTTTACGGTCTGGGTGCTGTTGCACATGTTGCACATGTCATATCCTCCAGCCAGGTGATGCAGCCACCTTGTCCTCATCATGCACACTTGAGATAAAAGGCCACGTGCATCCCTCTGAGCTGATCTCTGCTCGGATGTGGCATTATGAATTAGGATGCAAAGAACAAGACAACACTTTGGAGGTCTCAGGGAAAGCGTTGCGGCGGCCGCCATGTGCATGGAGGCTGCCGGACTGCTCAGCACCTATCGCTATCCAGTGCTGTTTCGTGCGGCTGGCAGGCCCACATAAGCTACCACTCTGTCTTTCAGGAGATGGACCAGGCGCACCACTTGCCGAGCCAAACTCCGCAGTCTCGGATAAGTCTGAAGGTCGAGAAAGAGCTGGATCAACGAATAGCAGATGCACGCGGGCCTGGACCTGTGGCTGCTGTTTGCCTCCCCACCTTAAGCTTGACTGAAGCTTGCTCGGCTAATGAGACGATGCCGCCCAACAGCACAATCAGCTGGAAGATGTCAGCGACGAGAACAAAAGCTTCACCCAAGCCCAGTCAGGCGCCTTTCCCGCAGGGCGGTTTCGTCAAATGCGGGGCCGAGTCCTTACGAACACAGCACTTAAGATTCCAAGACTGCACGTCCTGTCATTCAGCAGCCTTCATGACCCTTCACTAGAGGACAGTCGGTTGGTTTCAGCAGCTCTGCATGTGGCAAGGACGCAGCCTGCATCCTCAAGAGGCTCCTCCCATGGTGCAGACATGCCTACAGAATAATTGTTAAAGAATGCGATCAACATCACCATCAGAATAACTTCATGATCATGATCCTGATGATGACGATGACGCTGCTCATAAGTTTCTTGATCATCCTTGTTGCTAGGCTCACTTGCCTGAGATGTGGAGACTGCTATGCGTCCTGCTGCCTGACAGGTGCAAAGGGGCGCTCGAAATCTCCTGGCAGCCGCCGGCCTCATACCAAGCGAGTACTTTTTGCGTCCCAGTGGTCCGAGTCATCATCCGCAGCGTCACACGCCATAGTTGCGGGTGCAAGAGGTGCAGTCGGGTCTTGACCTTTGCAGTCTGAAAGTTGTTGAAGCTTGTTAAGGCCCAAACCCAAAGGGGACGAACCTGCTGTCGCTTGGTTGAAGTTAGCCGTGGCAAAGAAAGGTGGATGATGTTTCCATAATGCCCTCTATGCAGTGTCTCTGCAGCTAGAGCGCAGAACTTCTCATGCTTGTGAAGTCCGTGTATTAGTAGCGCGGGGCTACCTACTCAGGACAAGCAGGTGAGTCGCATGCTCAGAGCGTCACTTGACGGCTACTTCTTGTGTTGTCTTGGGTGGGCAGTATCCTGTTCTGGGATCCTACAAGCGTGAGGAACTGGGCGAGTGTGGGCTGCAGCTGCTGAAGGCGATTCGAATGCTGCAGAGAATTTTGCCGCTCGTCCAGCTCTCGAAGTCTCTGAGGCGGCGCCATAGGCTCCGGCAGTCCCGCCAGGGGCTCAGATTCGACCCACATTACTGTTTGATGGACAATTCTGCCTGGTTTCAAGTGTGCTACAACAATACCAGGCTACCAGAAGGTATGGTATATAGGGTTGTGTAGGATTTGATCCATCAACTGTATCAGTATCTATTCCTTCCATGGAGTACACAGAGATATTGCACTGCACGACAATTCCTTGAAAGTCCTCGCACTATAGGAGCAGTGTATACCTGATGTGCCCAACTTGGCAGCTTGGAATGGATGCTCCCGTGGCGGTGTCAGCCTGATCCGTGAGTGCCTGTTGTGGGGGGTGTAAACCTGACCAGTAACTCGCACATCAACAGTGTTCGGCTCTCCGAGGAATCCCTACATGGGCTCACATCCTCCCTACATGTAACTCCAACCGAGCCCCAGTATGGGTATTCTGAAAGATTGGGGTCTGCCGGATAGACCGGCCATATCTCGAGCACTCCAAATGAGACTATCCACTCCCAAAAGCCTATCTATACCATTCTATCCGCACGTTCCAGCATACCTCCGCACAAGCCTCATGCAAGGATCCCCAAAGACAGAAGTATACCCACCAAATGTATTCAGTCCACCTCTGTGATCAGGGGCGCGCTGCCAAGGGACGAGGCAAGCGCCGGCACCGTGGAAGCTTTCGCTTAAGCAGAGAAGTGATGGTGACGATAGTGGTTGTCGTAGTGTGTAGCTGTTGTATTGGCATGTATTGGCAGAGGAAGGTGCTCTGCCGCAACAGCAGTTGCTCGACATACTCGTAGCAAGGTGAGCGGTACTTGCCGAATTGTTAAGTTAAGTTTATGGGCAGTTGCTGGGCGACCTCTTCCCTCCTATGCAGGCCGGGGTCGCGGCAATTACCACAGAGCAAGCGCAGCCGGATAAAGCGCGAAAAGAAGTTGTGAGAATGACATGCTGCGACTGTGTAGCAATGGCTAACAGGGACCAACTCACCAGAGCTTCAGGGCCCAAAGTCAGGGGTAAAGTGCACAGTCCTGCATAGTCCTGCGAAGCAGAGGTCCAGGCAGGTTCTCAGCGAGAATTCCACACCCTTCTCATATCTACTCGTCAACCACCGCCTGTAAGCCCCCTCGCACGCTTAGTTCCAAAGTGCGGAGGCAAGCATGGAGGCTGGATCAGGGAAGCCAGAGTTGGAGTGTCGTCTTTGTTTGGCTGCGGTGCGAGACGAAGCGGAGGGCCCAGAAGCGGAGTTGTGCTTTCCCTGCAACTGTCGGGCGCCGGTCCATCGCGGATGCTTAGTACAGTGGCAGAGGGTTCAAGAGCAGCAGCTTATGGAACAGCGGCATAGTTTCGATGAAGCCCAAGCTCGGATGAACACATGTGAGGTGTGCGGAGCAAGGCTTTTGCCTGGAGAGGAGCGCTCAAAACCACAGCTTGGCTCTGCAGTTTGTCGAGCTCAGGGCGGTACAGGAAAAGTTGCTCTCCGTCGAGTACCAACTTTGTCTCGTGCTACGCGAAATTTCTCGGACTTCTCTGCAACAGATGGACAGCAGCTGGATGTCCTGGAGCAAGATGCTACTGGAGAGTTTTTCCGCGTCCGCGCTAAGAAGGCCCACCGGTACCGCGGAGAAGGCACCACGGCTGTGGCAGAAGGCTGGATTCGCCACGTGTACCTAGACTGGCAATGTGATTTAAGCAATCAATCATGGCTGCCTCCACCTCGCATGCCGGCAGCTCTTCTTGCAGAAGGCACAGATCGTCTGGAGGCTGTGAACGTTGAAGCTGCTCAGGACAGCAGGATGCAAGAGCAGGACGAAACGTGAGCCGTCGTACAAAAGCAGCTGTCGATCCATCTGGTGTTTCAGAGTGCTTGGAAAATGAGCCTGTGCTCATGGCTTGCAAATATTTGCAGCAGTCGGCTCAAGAGCAATGTTGAGCTTTGTGCCGCTATTATGCCACATACCCTTCATGGCGCAGCTCGTAGCCTCAGTGATCAGAGTGTTGGTGAAGGGATCGCACTCTTATGCATTGTGACGTAGATAGAGCAAGTCCTTGGCCAAGAAGGGGAATACACACGAAATCATAGCTAGCATTTGCGGATGGCGACAGTCTCGACTGAAAAGGCCATGTGGAGCTGAAGGCTAGTAGATAATGATTATACCCCTTCAGTTTGATTCTCATGCAAGGCAGCTGTCTCAGAAGAGGAAGGCTGCAAGCAGGCCTACTGCTGGCGGAAGAGCAGTCAATGTTTTCTTCCACGTGCGCTGTTGATGTTGCGATAGGATCGCCAGCCGAGCATCTACGAAATTCTAGATGACTCTTATCTGAATTTGTGTGATCAGATGTAGCACCCAAATCATCCCAATATAATCCCTATATACTATAGTAGTTTCCATTTTATTTTCCATTATCCCTATATAACCCCTATACAACCCCTATGGGCATGGCTCTTCTTTCGTTCTGAACGCTCCCGCTTTCCAGCCTCTGGCTTCCCAGGAAGTAATCAGCGTGGACCGATCGACGCTGACCAAGGCCTCCGATTTGGAAAATGTACCATGGGCTCGGCCAGCCTTCAGCATTTGAGCCATGAATTATCCAGGTTGTGGTTTTGCGATGACATTGGACCTGCTCAGATTCTGGGTGTGTGCGCGTCCACCCTGCTGCTTGTCAGTGGCATCCTGATCTATCAGGAGGCAGGGCCAGCCTCAGCAGTGTAGTGCTCAACAAGTTATTCCTTAGAGACCTCCACATAGGCCAAGTTTCCATTTTATTCTCCATCTGCTTTTCCCGTTTGATTCTCCATTCTCGGGGTAGTATACCGGCTTGTACATACTTGTACTATATAGTCAGGTTGCTGCTGGCCGGACGCACCTGGCCATGATCTACGGCGGTTGCTGGGCTGCAGGTGCCCAACGCTCCCAGCTTTCCCAAAATCGGCCGCCCTTTCCTGGGTTGCTACGGGCTCCGTAACCATCCTAATCTTGAGCAGGCAGACAAGGGGATCCGGCCCCCTTTTAATAAGAACTGTAGTTAACTGCAGTCAATGGGATGCATTTTGGCCTTCCCCATTTTTGGAGAATACCGGACATTTCCTAAGTAGATCTGAGACAAACACTGGAATGCTGGGCCCACTGCCAGACCAGAGGCTTCTTCCTCTTGGTGGTTGGACTGGTTGCGTCTGCCCAAAGCCTAGACCCAGCTTTAGTTGGGTAAATGCAAGGTGAGCGCCTATGCTTGGAGTGAATCTCATGACTTACCCTTGGCTGGCTGGCAATGAAGGAATGGATCTTTGTAGTAGTCCCTGTTTTCCTGTATAACCCATTATATCCCGTTATAGTCGTTTGCATTTTTATTTCCCTTCCTTCATTCCCATCTAACCAAAGGTAAGATGATGCATCTTTCGAGGTGGCCTTTGTGTTGCACGAGACCTCGCAGTTGGAGGCAGAAGTGTCTGCCTCGCGTTGTTTGTTGTGCCCATTTTCATCTGGTTCACGACTCCAGGCCGTGGAGACAACTGAAAAGAAGGGTAAATGAGGCCTGCCCGTTTGGGCAAGGGGCCCTCCTTCGACTTTGATGACCTCGCATCTGAAAGATGCAACGTAGGACCCATAGGTTTAGAGGTGCACAGGTCGCCCATAGCCACTTGCAAAGCTGGGAGCGAGCTGTCCTCCAAGCACTGCGAGATCCAGAGAAAGGCCGTTGGCTCTGGGTCTCAAGGCAGGTCCGCTAGCGTTGTTGCTGATTCGAGAGAAGGTCGTAACAGCAGCTTTCTTCGACAACCTTTGGGAATCGCAGCCTCGCTATGATAGGCTCAAGTTTCACTGTCGCCATGAGCTAAAAGCTGAGACTAAAGACAGCCTCAAATCTTCAGAAAGGCCATGCTTGGAATAAGAGCTAAGCCACTAAGTCCTTCCATTCATAGTGCCTTCGGGAGAGCAGGAACAATGCAGACACAACCGATGTAGCCTCAATCATAAGTCATAAGGGACGCTTTTGGCGGAGACCATGAGGCCTGTGGCTGGATCCAGGTCTGTGGCCCAGATTGGCGAGAGCTCATCGCCGCATGTGATCATTGACTTATCCAATGACCCGGCCATGGGGGCCGCAAGACGCGGGACATCCCCAGTACCTTCGCCAATGCCTCCAACCTTTGTGGCTTCGCCTATGCGTGGAGGCTGGTGTGGCGCCGCAACGCCAATGACTCCGTATCCTCCTCCCCTTTCTGCTCGAGATCCATCTCGTAGCACTGCTGCGGTGCGTGTGCACACGCCGAACGGTATAGCTGCAGCTGTGCATGTCCGACAAGCATCTAGCTCAGACTTGTTGGCATTGCCTGCATTTTGTTGAGTTTTGTAAAGATGTGCGGCTTGTGCAGATGTTGCCCCCTTGGCAGGCACATTCTCCAACACCGCTGATGTTTGCAAGACATGCAGTGTCCGCCGTCGTTGGACAAGTGGGATATGCTTCTCCCATGGCAGCAACGCCTCCCAGGCGAGCTCTTTTCGAGTACGCCTTGGCATCACCGAGGCGGCTGGCACCTCAGGAGGCCTACACGAAAGTCACGAAGCCTGCTGCCAGCCCGAGACAGACTAGCAGCGTGGCCTCAAGCCGCTTTCAGCAAGTTCCTTCCGTGGCTCCACCAAATCCTTCACCTTCAGTCAGCACAACGGTGGCCGAAGGAAACGGAGCTTCTGGGGCAAGGCGCGGTGGATCGGTGAGTTGGTGCATGCTTGCTACCCACAAGTCCACAAGTCGCAAGCGTGTCACGCGGCCAAAGTGTCAAGGACTCCAGTGCCACCAGCGCCTACACCACCGCCTCCTGCGCCGCCACAGGCACAGACGCAAGATGACGAAGGTAACAACTCACTCGTGCCAGGGTCGCAGCCTCGGCTCCTCGTACCTAACTCCCACACGCGAAACTTGTGCTTTGCCAGCCAAGGATGCAGCTGCAGGTGGGTTACCTTCACCTTCGTACTCAGGAGCTGCTGGGCGACTCGGGCTGGAGTCGCAAGTTCTCCTTGGTTTTTCGATAATCTGTCTCCTTATCATAATACTCCATCTGAGCCTGTATTTGGATGTTTTTCTTTGCGTGCTACACTCGTGCTACAAAGCTCTGGATACCTGTTTGGCGCCTTCCTCTCGGCACAAAGTTTCGCAGCCGAGGAAGCGGCTCCTACAGCACTGTATGGCTAGCGCAGGCTGGGCATGAGTGAATCATGCAGCTTGCTAGGCATGCGGACATGGACCGGCAAACGCTTCCATTTGCCCATGCAGGTGGAGAAAGGGAATGACACCGCCGATGCGCCTCAGAATGTTGCGCTCAAGGAGTTTGTTTGGGCACATGTCTCTTTCTTCCTGCCTCTGCTTTCATGTTGCGTGTCGTTTGAAAGAACAACCTATTGCTACCGTGGACGCTGAGCAGCAAATGATAGCATGATGTCTATAGACTTTACAATAGCCGGCGGGCAGGTGGAGTAAATCTGGATCTTGAGGGGCAAGTGAGACGAACACCTCCAGAAACAATGGCAGGGATGATGGAGCTTGAAAGCTGAAAGAGTTTGCTCTACCAATTGCCATCCATTCAGCCGATGGGGCAGCGATTTCAAGCAAAGGCAAGACAAGGATTTAGGCAAGCTGCAGCATAATGACGCCAACCAAAACAAGAACATTTACACAAAACACATGGCTTCCATATAGCTGTAGATGGTCCTGCTGAACAGCGTTAGCTTGGATACATCTCATAAGGTTGCTTCAGAAGCCTTGAGAGCCTGAGGGCCAAGTATTGCCAAATCATTAGCGCTATACATCTTTTGCGATCAACGCTCCATTGCGGTCAGGGCACTATGCCACTGCTACCTCCTGGCGAGGACGTGTTCTGCCGTGGTGAAGCTGCATTGCAGCAATCCCTGTTTGAAGTGCAGCTCCTAATGGCAGTGGAGCCGGGGACTCAGATCGCAAGCTGTCCCCCTATGACAGACAATGGCAGCAACAAATGTGATATGTCTGAATGTAGCAATGTTGATAAGTCATACAGAACCCTTTTGGTGCCGTCAGCACAACTACTGGTACAGCAGTCGTGGGCATTGCAGTGGCAGTACTACAAGCAACGGCGGTGGCAGCAGCAGGAGCTAGAGTGGCGCTGGAAAAGCGAGTGGCAGTGGTGGTGGCGTTAGTGGTACTGTAGAGTTGCAAGCATGAAAGATGGTGGTAAGGGTAGTGGTAGTAAAGTGATGGTCCTAGGATTCGTGGTAATATACGTGCAATGGTGGAGGCGGTGGTGCTGCTGGCTCCTGGCTAGATGTTGTCTTGTCTGCGCAGGTATTACATGCCCGCCTGCATCTAGGCCGAAGGACCACAGCGAATTCGTACACTCGTTGCAAACCACAAAAACCATCAAAACCCAGACGTGTTGGAATTTCTGCAACACCGTATCCACCATTGCTTCAACCTTCCCAGGAATATTTCATGAGTAGCCAGTTCTTGATCCCCGGATAGACGAAGCAGCGGTTGGGAAGCCTCAAAATGCTCTTTCGGGGTCAAGGGAACTCCTGGAGATGTGTAGAGCAGGGACAAATTTCTTGTGGGGAGAAAGACACACGTCAGTCAAGGCGCCGGGTGAAGCGCGCAGCCCAGCGCGGGCAGCCTTTGCAGATGCCCCGCCTGCCGCGCTGCCTGACATACCAGGCCAAGAACTTCGCTCGTAAAAATGTTGAAAATCATGGTTCCTGATGCTCATCATTGTTAAACGGTACGATCATTGCCGTTGTGAATGCTACATCATCTTCGTGAGGTAGATGCCTCTGGCGCGGGCTGGAGTGTGCGGATGGCGCTAACGCGCCTCAGGGGTGAGCAGCTAGACGGCTGGCTGCAAAGATCAACAGAAGTCAGCAGCGAATGCTCCCAAATGCCGCGAGCTCATGGTTGGCGAAGTCACCCATGCCCGGCTGAAACCACACACTGCTTGGGAATCTGGTAGTTACCGAAAATAGGGGGACCCCAATATGGACCCTAAAGTACCATATGCTGGGGACCCCTTAAAACATGTGCCCCTGATTTCGGAAAACTATGATTAATCGAAATATGAAAACTGCAACTCGCACAAGAGGCCCTGGACTGATGCGTTGCGTGGTGGATGCATCCTTGCCAGGCCTTGGGCATTGCTTGCTGCATTTTTTGGGTACTAAATTTGTTTAGGGTTTAGGGTTTAGGGTTTAGGGTACTAAACAATTGGTGAACCAGGGTTTAGGGCCCTAGGGTTTAGTTGTGTCTGCATCATGGTCAGTTGTTGGAGAGGCATCTGCTCCAGCAGCTTGGTCCAACGCTTCAAAACTTAGTCCGGAGGCCAAGACTGTTGACATGCAAATTGGCAAAGGTCAAAATGGAACTACCAGATTAAAGTAGGGGGTATATAGTAACAATGGAAAAAATAAATGGAAACACATGTATTGCAGTAGGACATGAAACTGCTATGTCATAATATAGTATATATGTATATATAGTAATGATGTGAGTTCTTGTGATGGCTTTTAAATTATGAATTGCGCTGCACATGACCTGGTTTCAGGAATCTAGCGGCACCAAGTGGCAAGCCACATGATGTAGAGAGTGGATTTGAAAGAATGGCAGGTCCTGTAAGCAAGACAACTAAGCTGGTTGCCTCAAGCAAGAAGAACGTACATGAGGAAGCCATGTCATTTCAAAAGAGCAGAATTGAGTTGATTGCCAAAATGTCGAGACAAACTGCAGAGATAGAATCTAGAAGGGGGCCGGCTCATTTTGAAAGCTGCCCAGTACAAAAGTTGCTGGAGCGCATGCCATGGCCGGCCTTGACAAGTCCTACTTCCTCGATGGCAAGCCCTCCACAATGGTTGAGGTGAACCAGGCTTGGCGTGATATTTGGGCTTGCAGAAGTTTGGAATTCGTTTTTGTGCCTTGAGTATGCGAGGACGTATTGAGGGTAGTTTGAGTTTAGATCCTGGATGGTATGACGGATCTGGTTTGCTTTCGGAGTTTAGAGAGCTGTTGCCTGCGTGCAGGCAATCCATGCAGGAACAGAGCTCCGCCGGATGTTGCCCCTCACCTGCGTACGGGTCTTCGTGGCCGGAGCTGTGACGCACGTGGGCTGCCTGGTTGCAGGAGCTGTCAAGTACAGTTGCAGCCGTTCATCGGTATTGATCATCTTCTGTCGTCCCAGAAGAAAGGGAGGGCCCACAGTCCGTTTCTTCTGAGAATTTTCCTTTCGAGGCAAGTTACTCGAGACGCTTCAAGGTAGACAAGGTTAAGTCCTCTCGCGTTTGTTCTAGTCTGTGCTATCTTGTCCTATCTCTTGTCCAAAGCAAGATCTGGAATGCTAATCGAACGCCCTTACCTCAAGCCCGTGCATCAGTAGATGCCCAGCCTTGATTACTCCCGTGAAATGGAGGATCAAGTGAAAAAGACAATGGAAGATGTGAAATAGAAACTGGGGTTTACGGCAGATATGAGCCATAGTCTAAACTGCTATAGTATCCCACTGAGAGTAACCCTTATAGTAGTCCCCTGTATTAGTCTCTGACACAACCCCCTTTAAGGAGTTCAGACTATACCTCATATAGAGTTTGGGGTTTAGGGATGGTTTAGGGCAGGACTTCGGAAAGGCGGCTTTTGGCTGTTGTCTTAGATGACAGGGTTTCCGAATTTGAAAGGGCGCTTATCTTCCGAAGCAAAGCTCCAGGAGCAGTCCGGAATCTCCACAGCACTGCTTGCAACAGCAAGTGAGTAGCATTCTATTTGGGGATGCTACAGTACGCAATAGAATAATCTAGAATAGAACAATGGCGTCAAGCTCTCTGAGTATTTGCTAGGAAGACTGGAGTTTGTTCTGCAGAACTTCATGGGGAAGGAGAGATGCCTGCAGACACATAATTTTGCGGGGGAACTTGAATGAAATTAAGCTGACAGGCGCAGAAGGAACAGACTGGAATGTCGTCAGCCCAACTGACATCTGGCAAGTGCGGCGATTTTTTGCGGCGCTCGCCGCCAGATGACGTCCAATGGCAGTGCGGAGAGACAAAAAGTATCATTGTCGCCTGGCTGTCTTAGGTGGCGAAATGGCCGCCTCAATAGCGTCAATATTAAGTTCCGTCAAAAAGCTGAGAGGCTGGCTGTCACCGATCTTGGAGCGAGCATTGCAAAAAACGCTGCACTTGCCAGACGTCAGTTGGACTGATGACATTCCAGTCTGTTCCTTCTGCGCCTGTCAGCTTAACTTCATTCAAGTTCGCCCGCAAAATTATGTGTCTGCAGGCATCTCTCCTTCCCCATGAAGTCCTGCAGAACAAACTGCAGTCTTCCTAGCAAATACTCAGAGAGCTTGATGCCATTATTTGCCGATATTCAATTCAGTATTTGAGGAGCCAAAGCGCGCAACGCCTGACTGCGATGAGCCACCGATGTCCGAGAATCATACCAGAGTACCCCTTTTAGAGTAGGATTATATCGTCCTTTTTGTGTCTAGTGCTTTATACATTTTTTCGCGAATAAATTCAGCTTGGGTCCCTTGTTCGGCGTAGACTAGACACGCAGACGACGGTGTCAGCCGCTGGATGTTTTTTGGCAGAAGCCACTGTGGTAACCGACAACCAGTTAATGTCTGCAAGAAATCTTTTGTACCTTCTACTATTGATGGGGGAATTCTTGCACGATCTTGGTCAAGGTACTGTCATTCTGAAGAAGTAGGGGACTTGGGATGGTGAAGGATGTCCACCATCATCTCCCTTTGCTACCCCAAGATGTCAGAGTCCTGCTCACATGGATCCCCGTTGGGAAACCTCCTGATGTGACACAAGGAAAAACCTCAGTTTGCCTGGGCCTTCTGGCGGCCCTTCGGAAAGCCGGCTTCGCGGAATCTTGGCCGGCTTTTTAATTTCAGATGGCATTATGCCTTACGGTGAAACCTTTTTGTAGTGATTCCTTTGAGTTTTGGGGCTTCAAGGGGCATGTTTTGTTGTTGGCACAGCCTCACGGCATTCTTTTGACTTGCCAGAAGGCTTGTTTGTGAAGCACATAGCAGTAAAGCCTTCTTCTGCTGATGCTGGTAGCTGAGAACTCTTCAGACCTGCTGCCAGTTTTGGCGACATTTGCATGGTGGTCTTCGCACCAACCTAACCCAGGCGAATGAGCTGGCATACATCAAGCCAGCTACGCAGTGTGAAGCACCAGATTTGCTAAGCAAATGGTGTGCTAAAGAAGGCGCGGGTGCTGCAGTTCTCATGAGTGAAGCAATCTGTACGTGCCTTTCAGTGGAAGTGCTCACAGCGCGCGCATGAACCATCTGATGGGTCGTCCGCATGCAGCATCTGCTGCAGGTATCGAATATGTTGCTGGAGAGCAAGCCCCCCTCGTGTTTTATTCGGGCTTCACACGGTCTTTTTTGGCTGGTGAGCAGGGCACCAGTGCCCAGTGGCTGCAGAAGCGCCTCCGCCCAGCAATTCAGACTCTCCTTCTGGGCAAGAGGTTTGCTTGCAGTCTGCAAGGCTGTTTGCATTGTGAACTACTCGCCTGTCATGCTCGTCAAGAGCACCGGACCCGTCCGATTTGTGCGACTCAGGATTGAAGCTAGAATAGCGGAGTTGTCTGCTGGCAAGCGAGTCGTCGGCTGCCCGGTTTCCGTAAGCTATTCAACTCCTGTAGCTCCTGGATTGGATCTCAGCAGTTTTGTCTACAGGTCATCGTCGATGGTGTGGGCTTTCCAGCTGTGGGTTCCATCGTTGGCGTCGACAATGCGGACGTTGCCCGTGCTTCCAGAGCACCTGTCTTGCTCGTTTGCACCTTGACATTTCAAGCATAGAGCACTAAAGAGCTCTGAGCGCTGTGTGGGCAGCTTCTTGTGATTACGTGGCTTGCCGAGGCAAATCTGGCGTTGGCCTGGGTCTTAAGGCTTTTGTGCTTTTCCTGTCTTGTGGACAAGTGGGTACGAGGTTCTGCTGTGGACAGTTTCAGCTTGAATTCGTCCTACTTCCTTGCCAAAAGCGTCCCGGTGCTCGGGGCAGTCTTCAATCTCGGCGAAACTGGTCATGCCTTCATCATCTTCTCCATATGTGCGCAATGCTGACATTTTTCAGGTGTCTATGTGCTTGCCTGAACATGCCTGGCAGAGGAGAGCGTTCCCAGTGCAATCTTGCAAGGACACCGAGGGCTTCTACTCGTCGGACAAGTGCCGAGAGAGCATTGAGGCGTGGTTTGCGCTGTGGCTTGCTCGCAGAGAGCCCTTACCTAATGCCGACATATCCTGAGTTCTATGCTTGCATACGAGGCTTACTAGACCAGGTGTGTTCTCATATGAGCTGTAGTCTAAACTCCTTCAAGGGGGTTCTGTAGGGGATCATATAGGGGACTACTGCAGGGGTTATTAATAAGGATACTAGGAGTTTAGACTAGCTCATATAGTCTCCATACACTCATGTACAATTCCCGATAAGGCAGGGCGGACGTCGAGAGCGCTTCTACGGCGTCGTGCCCAAACTGTCGGAGTTGGATGGCCTGCGCAACTTGTACGCAGACGCAGAGAACGCTTTTTCGAGCAACGTTGGCTTGCGTCTGCGGGACAGGTGAGCGAATAAAGGACACAGATGAAGATGCCCTGGAAGCTGGCCAGCAATCAAGACTGGCAAACAGGGAGCCTTATTCTATTGCAGCCTACAGAGTTCAGCCCGTCCCAGGAAGCTTTGGCTGATGCAAATGCTGCTCACTTTGCTCAGCATGTTGCTCTTCAGCTGCAACAGACATTGATGCATTTAGCACGCCTGTGTCCAATGGCTCTGAAGGACATTGCGGGCATCTTTGGCGATGCTGCCGTTGATCCTTGGTGGCTTGCTAGAAGTTAGAAGAAGCGCTGGTATGTGGATAACGCAGTTGTCTTTACATGCAGGTGCCGCTCTGCCTCACGAAGCAGACCACAGCCGGCTCCTGTTGAGAGTACATCCTTTCAGCCGAACCTCGTCTGCGACAGGATCTGCAGCGTTTTGGTGGTACTGAAGCCTTCCAAGCAGATGTCTTGCCCAGGCTGTCTCGCGATGCGGTGTCCACCACTGCCAAGAAAGCGGGTGCCAAAGGAGGCGGCTGAGGAGGATAATGGCCTGGTTTCAAGCACCAGGCCTGTCTGAACTTACCTGGATTGCTGCGCCTGAACGGATGCGGCTTCCATGAGTCAGCACACTTTTTTTTGTAGTCTATGGGAGAAGAACGCATGATCCCTTCTGCAGCATGCTATTGTGTGGACTCAGGACAGCTCTGCCCCCGCTGGCAGAGTTTGATTGATCAGGCAGATAGCAGACCAGGGCGCCTTGCGTGCGGGCAAAATGTTGCAATCCCACGCATCATGACCGCCCATGTCCTGGCCAAGAAGGTGTAGCCCTTTCCCCATTTTCCATGCAGAGTTGCATGGCCTTTTGGCTCAGGCTCCTTTGGCTTGGCATCGAGATGTCAACTCCCACAATGCCGCTATCCTAGAGCTTGCCTTTTTCCGCTTGTGGTTGGGGTTCTGCCGCTGGGCACACATTTGTTTGACTGAGGTTCTGATCTGCAACGAAAAGTCGGAGGACCGGAGATACGACCAGAAAGTAAGTCCTGTCTTGCGGTCTGAAGTTTAAGCAGTTGGAGGATGGAATTCTAAGCTTGGATGACGGCGAGGCTATTGCTGAAGTGCAGTATCACTGTGTGGTCGCATCTGATTCTTTTGGACCCTTGCCAGGACAAGGCCTCTTTCTGGCTTTGTGATCTGGGGCTTGCCGTCGACTCCCAAAGTTGGACCGGCGAGGTGTCCCGGGGAAACAGCGAAATGTAACAGCGATACAACTTGTCACTGCCACAGGAAAACCTCTGGCGAGTGACAGACATTGGTGGGGAGCTTAGGAACGGGATTGTGACCCGCCAGCCTCAGCCAGCTCAACTTCCCCCACACTTGCTGCAGGCGGAGATTGCAGATACTGGCCAGCATCCTGTTGGATGGTGCACTGCTGCCAGATTGCAGCAAGAAGGTGCGTGCTTAGGATACTTGCAGCATATATGCGCAATGTCGAGAAGAAGAGGAAGTGGGGTGTCACTGAACGTACAGTACGATACACTAACAATTTACTATAATTTACTCATCCTTTACAATAAATTACTACTAACTTACTAGCAATTTATTACAATTTACAATAATTTGTTGCTAATTTACTAATAATTTATTACAATTTACTATAATTTACTATAATTTACTATAATTTACTATAATCTACTATAATCCACTAATAATCTACGATAGTTTGGTATAATTTATTTGGAGACTTGGCCGGGTGTTTGGCCAAGGCTTCGGGGCCGACTACTTGGAGGAGAGGTCTGGGGCCTCAGGACATCAATATGAGCCATAATCTAAACTCCTTAAAGGGGGTTATATAGGGGATTATATAAGGGACTACTGTAGGGGTTATGGTGGTTTCCCTAAATAAGGGGACCCCAACATAGACCCCAATATACTACAATCCTTACTAAAAGGACCCCCAAAAAGGTACCCCTAATTTTGGGAAACCCCCATATATATATATATTGGTATATTGTCTTACAGTATATTGGCGTATATTATAGTGTTTTATAGTATATTATAGCATATCAAAGTATATTATAGTACAGTATAGTATATTATGGTATGGTTTATTATGGAGAGTCTTCTGGAAAAATGGTGCGATGCTGCTCTCGAGGCCGAACTTCTGCAGGCAGTACAAGAGCAGGCGTGGCGAATGGTTTAGGGTTTAAGGTGCAGCTGAAATTTGATGAGAGAATCCCTTGACCAACAGCTCGTCTTTACCTCCCTTCACATTGCTTTGAGAAAGAGCCCAGCTTTAATGGCAAAGACTGGCATGAAAGCAGATTTGCCGAAGACTTCCCCCACGCAGCGAATACATAGCCCTAGTCTCCGTTTCATTTTCCATGTGATTTTCCGCTATTCATCCTACACCCATATATGGTAGTTTCTCAAAATAGGGGGACCCCGATATAGACCCCAAAATAGTGTAATCCTTATTATAGGGACCCTCAAAAAGGTACTCCTAATTTTGGGAACTACCCATAAAACCTCAATATGACCCCTATCATTCCCTCAAAGGGACCTGTATATCCTTTTCGTTAAAGCTGATGCTTGCCCAAGCCTTGCTGTACTTGGCCAGGCTGGACATCCATGCCCTGGGCATCACGGCCATAGAAGTGCTTTGCCGCAACCTCAGTGGAAGTCCGAAAGCCATGGAAAGCCTTGAAACCGGAGATTGCTTGGTGGTCTGAATTATCGCCTCAGCGCTTCGAATATAAATTGCAATGGCCTGAACCTTCATGAGTTAGTATTAAAGCCTACAATAAGTATCATACCTATAATCACCATAATAAGTATAATAGCTAGAACATACTATAATATACTATAACATGCTATAACATATTGTAATATACAATAATATACAATAATATACAGTAATATACTCTAATATACTATAATATATTATGAATCATCAAAATTTAGAGAAAAGAACGTTGAGGCACGAAAGCCCTGGCTCTCCGCTCTGCCGGCGCTCCAACTGCCGGCTCCGGCCTTCGCTTTGCCAGCACAAAACTGGGTTGCTGTTAAGGAACTTAGATTAAGCTACCACAAAATCCTAGGGTTTGAGGTTACATTGGGCTCTACTGGAGTATATTGGGGTCATATTGGGGTTATATAGGGATAATGGAAAATGATATGGAAAGTGCTATGTAGGGTTTAGGGTACCATAATGGGGGGGTACCATATATATACATATATACTGGACAAAAGGGTTTCCCCGAATTTAGTAACTTAGATTAAGTTCCTCAAGAGCAACCCAGGCAGACTAAGTACGACTGCTGCTATGAGATGCCCTTGGGAGGTGCAAGCCTTCAACTCAACTTGAAGATGCTGCCATCACTCATCGCTACCATTATTACTATTACTACTATTATTGCTAGTATTGCTATCATTGTTATTAATCCGAGCACTAGATTAATAAAAGGGACCATATTTAAAGAAAAAAAATCGGGAAAATTAGTGGTCAAGGACTAATTTAGAATAGGTGGCATTT